TATTAATCGTTGTAATTCATGAGTTTCAAATAACTGTAAGTGAATGGTACTATTTTCTTTTATGTTCATAACTCCATCTCGTAAAGTCTCTACTTTCTATCATACACAATAATATTAATGTAAACATTTGAGCGTAGTATTTATTATTAATAAATAAGGTTTCTCATCCGAATTTACCTCGTATTACGACTGCTGAAGATTTTGAAGTGAACATTTTGAAGGTAGGCTGACGGCTATCGTCAAATGTTGAACGGTAACGGGCTACTGGTAGTAGCAAGTGAACAGACTAATCGTTCAGCGAAGGACTAAGAACCTCGAAGTACTTTAAATACCATCTTGTCCGCCACACATTCTACATGAAGTGCAAAGGATATGGAATATCGGTGTTCAATTGTAGAGAGCAAGTGATTTGTGAGCGTTGCTACAAGACGTCAAGTACTTTTAATTAATATTCCTCTGTAAGGTACGATCTCACATGTAAGTTCTAAGGCATCTTTTTACAAGAAGATGTATTTGCGATTTTGATCCAAGCGCCACGGCGACTCCGTGGCATCGAAAGTATTTTCCCTTTCTCACTTGGCTGGTACTCGTACGGTAAGATTGCTTCAGCTATAAATACTGTCACACAATTAGTCTTACACATACAATCGTAAGTAGTCCAGTCAAATTGTAGCCTAGACTACAAGAGATGTTTATAAAGATGAATCTTCACGGAAAAATATCTATTCCAAATGTTGGCGAACCCACTAACCTTCCGAAATTAGGCAGTAAAGCCGTTTCCACTTTATTATTTCGTCAACCCAAGTCAATATAAACTGTCTTACGCTGTCTGTAGAGTTCTAGAGAAGTCCTAGAGTTCAAATTCCTACTCTGGCAAATTTTCGACACTAGCTTCATAGTTCGATCAAACTCAGTCGCTGTCTAGAGAATTCTAGCGACCGCCTGCTGAAATCGCTAGTTTTCCGTGGCTTCTCCGATCAAAGCTAGGCGAATGCCGGAGCACTACCCTGACAAACGGACCCAAACAACGGGCCACGCGTAAGCTTTCTTTCCTCCTCCTTGTCCTCTCCTCCCCTTTGCCTCTCAAAGCTGGAGCGGAGCCCGGCTGAGGAGTTCCCAGGAGGTGAAAAATCCAATTAACCTTCTTGACCGGATTTCACGATCCAGGTTAAAGGAAAAACCGCCACCTCTCATCTGTCACATGCACTACACTCATAGAACGAAGGATCAAAGTAGTTGACCAGCACATAGATTCTAAGCACTCACTCACTCTTCGAACGGTATAACAATGATTATCCGTCGCCTTTTTTTGGTGGGGGGGGTGAATGCACCTTTGTTGCATTTCGACCCACTGCGCCGCCTCCTCTCCTCTCGTGTGTGCCGCCGTGGCTGCTTCTCCTCGCCTCGCGCGCCGCCATTGTGTGTTCGGGCTGGCAGTTCACAACTCGACCACGCCCGCGCCCGCGCCCTCGCCCCCGCCCCCGCCCCCTCGCGCCCGCTGCTCCTCCGCGCCCTCGCCCTCGCCCTCAAGAGGCTCTCTTCGCCCTTCGCACTGCGTCGCTTGCCGCTCTCGGCGGCCCAGCCGCGCCCTGCCAGCCCTTGCTCTGGTTGCCCTCTGCCCTGGAAGCATTCCTCCCGTTTTACGGGCCCTTTTTATGCGCTTTTATTTAGTTTGGTTTGGGAGTCATATATTTTTCTAGTTTTCAATTTAGGTACGAAAACGAAACTCGGGACTCAGTGCGCAAGTCCCATTCGATACTACAATATGTAGTCGTTTGTAATATGTACTACAATATGTCGTCGGTAAAATAGTGTCTTACTACCAAACTTTAAATGCTTTAATTTGGACTAAAATTGACAAAAATTTAAGGATTTTAATGTTTTAATGTTCTTAAATTTTTGGAATAAGTTGGGTTAATCATAATTCATTCAAGACATTCCTTAGGTAATATTCGTAGTCAGTTATAATTAATAATAATAATAATAATAAAGAAGAAGAAGAAGAAGAAGAAGAAGAAGAAAAATACAGGACACGAGGTACGAGGCAAAAATTATGAAATAATGTTCAATAAAATACTTTAAACAGGAAAGGCAATTTTCTTCTTGATCATTGGCTGCAGATTCCGCAAAAATACGTAAATGGCAAGATCGCGGAACTTTTCCGAAGTTTGTACTTAACACGATGAAAAGATATTTTTACTTTTATTTTATATGGCACAGAATTATATTTCTGCAAACGTCTCTTTTGGACGCAATACACAAAGCAAGAAGGAAATAATTGTTGTAGAATGTCTTAAAGGTTTCCAATATATTTAAAACGTGAAAAATTTCATCTGGAAATTTAGTATGTATTAGTCTCTATCCATAAAATAAATTATGAGAAGTAATAAAAGTTATTATTAACCATTGTCGAATAAATCAGTTTGATTTCCTGTAAATTGTAGTATATTTTCCTAATTCCTTAGATAAACAATTTCAATAAAAAATATACTACTGGCTAGATCAAAATTGTTTATAATGCCTACCACCTTAATTCAGGATGTAAAATAATTTTTAATGAAAAATCTACCCCCAAATTTATGTTTGTAGATGATTTTGAACCAGTACCCTTCACCAGATTTCTTACCCATTTTCTTTATTGCTAGAACCTTGTGAAGGATACACATACAGATATAAACGGCTAGCTCATTTGTATTCAATGACACATCAAATTTTCACGAGAAACGGACACTACACACTGAAAGCAACACAGCTGGAGATCACCATGAATTCTCCAGTTGACAGCCTCCCGCTGACAACAACCACATCGCCGCTCACCGACCCACCTAGATCGCACTCGGATTCACACTGGCTTCGACAAGGATCTGCATCACAAAGCAGATGCATGGGTAATACAACGCATTGCTTGGTCGTACGACTCCGCGTATTCCTCCAGTTTCGATCACTTATTTCTGACCTCAATGGCACAGGGGCTTAGAACAATTTGTCGCAGTAAGCGGCATCGAAGGTTGCGGCTTAGGGGCTCGCGTAAGTCATAAATAGTCTGTGTGTAAGGAATGTGACACATTTAAAATATTGCCATTTTGCTGGCGATTGTATACTGAGAGAAACTGTTTTATTTCGCGTAGTCAGACAACGTGCTTCATTCTATATTCTGACTGTTTTGTGATTAGCTTCATGAAATGTTTCCTAGTAAAAAATATATTATTTTATAAACATATTTCTATACTGAAATATGACTACTTTAGAAAGGTGTCACCTTACATGAGTACTAACTAAATATGTTCACCCTTTGGGGGCATTAATGGCGTTCCCCATGTATCTTATTCCATTTATTTATGATCTTCAATGAGCGATATCTTTGAGCCCCACGAGTTTGATCCACATAACATGATAGCGATAATGACAATGAAGTGAATGCAAAATTGAATGAGTAGCAGAAGAAACGGGAGAACTACGAGAAAACCATAAAATAGTAAAAATTCTATTAACATCTATGCTGTTCCTTAATTGAACTACTATTTGGAGATTATTAAGTGGTTCCGAACCGATATTGATAACGTATAAAGGAGGTGAAACTTATGTTAAGAAAGGCACGTATGCACTACCCGAAGTCTTCAGTTGAACGGACTACATTACCAAGAAAAGTGATTGGGAGAGGTTTGGTTGATAATACCAATCAACTTTGTCGGCAAGTCAATAACATGAGAATGTTTACGTAAAATTATTTGTGAAGCAGATGCATTTACACCTTTTTACATTTTTAGAGCTAACTCGGCTAGAAATTTGCAGAGGGTTATCGTAAAAAGCTGTATTCAAAGATGGCGAAGACTCTTCATGGAAAACATCCACATGAGGTAAATCAAATTTACATTGCTAAATACGTTTAGTCCTTGTATCCTTTTAGTCGCTAATGACCTTGACCTATGTTTAGTCGACAGTGACCTGTTGTCAATGCTACGATAAATAAATTAAAAAATATGCATTATTCTGTCAATTCTCTCGAGCACTGATTTCATCACTGAAAGTTTGAAATGGGGCCTCAAATATCTGAGAATGAAATAGTATACACAGTTTTGAAGAAGGCAGTGATAATAGCAACGTCGAATACAGTGGGAAATTTCTAGTATGTGATGTATTTTAAATTTAGTGTCATTTTGAGGTAATATATTGCTTTTTGATAATGTATAAAATTAATCATAAGAATGAAGCGAAAATGATAAAATAAATAATAATAATAATAATAATAATAATAATAATAATAATAATAATAATATAATAAATATGTCCAAAACTGGACACATCCTCTCAATAATCGGCGTCTCGTTTCTTCCCTACTGTTTCCCCCGCGGACTTCAAGGGCTGAGTGTCAAAGAATTCCTTTGTGGCCGCAGTCTGTCTTCCCCTCGCGTGCTGATTATCGCCGGCGCAGCGGAAAATTTCGGCGGCGGAGCGCAATTTTTAAACGAGATCGTGACGCCGCGGGCGAGCGCGCGAGGAAATTGCTCTGTGCGCAGGTCGGCGCCTCCGACCAGCGTCGCCCATCGGGAGGAATGAAGTAACAAGGGTAGTTTTTCGTAGAAAAGGAGAATGTGAGTTTAGGCCACCCTGGAGTACGAGCTGAAGTACAACAATGTGAATTCGAATCCCCGTTGAGATCTGATGGTTTTCATCGTGGGATTGAAATATGGCTGATATTTTATGTCACCATGTATGGCATTAGATATGTTATATTATTCACCATCAGGACTCGGATGTGTTTGGCTTGACATTGGTTATTTGTGTTGAAAACTCGAAAATTATATGTTTATACCCATTTCGATTCAAGTTAGATAGTTTTTAAACCTCATACAAATTTACTAATGTAGTACGTAGAAATTAACTGCAAAATCGGCAATAACATTGTGTGAACTTATATAGTACAACAATTCTTCGCATGCCAAAAATATCAAAGAAGTCGGTTTTCCATAATGTAATACGTGGAAAGCAAAAATTTCGAGGCGGGAGGGTACTTTGGGGCCTTGCTGTTGCGTGACGTCAGGTGGGTTGTAAGCAATGAAGCGCTGAGCACGACAAATCAGATGGTAGCGCAATGTGAGAAAAGACGGAACGACGAAATAAAATATTTGCATTTTCAGTCCAAATTGAACTGTGTCGTAATTTTTGAATTTTCCCGGAGTTCCTCGATATCTAGCAACGCCATAGATACCTCCTACATGGCCAGAGGCTGCTGAGTATTCTTTCAATTTCTTTTTCTGCGCGCGTTGGAAATTCGTGGTGTGGACTGACAATGTGTGATGTGTGGTGTGCCCGCAGAGGATAATGGACTCGGCGGAGCAGGTGGCGCTGTCGCACAAGTTCGAGGCCGGGCTGAAGCACCGCTTCCTGGACGCTCGGCGCTTCGGCGAGGGCGCGCCCGGCGAGAGCGACCCGCTGCTCGACGCCAACGGCGACCAGGGCCTCAACACCACCGTCAGCGCCATCCTGCTGCCGCCCGGCATCAGCGACTCCAGTGAGTACTCGCTAGCACTCTCCCCCTCCCTCTTTTTGCCTCTCTCTCTCCCTCTCTCTCCCTCCCTCTCCCTCTCTCCCTCCCTCTCCCTCTCTCTCCCTCTCCCTCTTTCTCTCCCTCTCTCTGTCTCTGTATCTCTATCTCTTTCACTCTTCTTTTGATTTAGGGCACACGGTGAATAATGTTCAACGCTGCTATTTTCAGCGAGTGAGTGAGTTTGCATTCTGGGCGCATCAACTACTTAGAACTTAAGCTCCGTAAGTGTAGTGATTTTTACATCCCAGAAAATGGTGGTGTTCCTCACTCGCTGAAATGGAAGTTCCATTACCCATCGAATTGTGAGTTTTCTCCTCCAGGATTTTCCTCCAATGCGAACAGCCCCAGTCGGAACAAGCAGAGAGCTATCGACTAGACGCTCGACATATACAAGATAGTGAAGTCTATACAAGCGTAGTTTGTGTGTGTGTGTGTGTGTAAAAGAAAAGGAATGAGCAAGGATGCAGAGGTAAAGATCACTCGGAGTTCGTTGGCCGTTCGCCTGATATAAAATAGAGAACCCTGAAACATTACAGATTAGACCTGCCGGTAGTTATAATTATCCTCTAGAAAGAGGTTGAATTTTGTCGCTGAGACTTTTTGAATATTCGTGTCACGGTTCTTCACTACCTTCTCTAAAACAGACAGATTATCAAAAACGCCATCAATCTTCTATTACAAAATTGCAGCGCACAAGAAAATAATTTGAACGTTATTAATAGCGTGATAAATTTAATTCTTTAATTTATATTTACACATTTTCATTTTCTTGGGCTTTATAAAAAAGCTTTGAAATCAGAATTGTTAATTATTCTGAATTAATGAATAATTCAGAACAGGTATTCTATCAATGTGAACAGGAACAATTTTAATTTTGCTATTTGTCGGTAAACCTGTAGGAGCCGTTTGTTATGTATATTGTAGATCATGTGTGTTTTGAAACAGGTAATGATGTTCTATTAACAAATGATTATTTAGTCAGAACATCTTTTATATATTCCTTTTGTAATCTCTTTATGCTTTTTAGATGGAACATCCCTCCTTAAACTGGTTGTCTCATTTCAAATTCTCTTTGAAATCTCCTTTGTTTTGACTTTCACTCGCTCATTAATCTTCTTTATTTTCACGTTTTTCCACCTGTTAGCTCGGCGTAAATTATCCACCGTTTATTTGTAAATCGATTCAAAGACGACCTCCATTTTTATTCTGGAAGGATTAAGAAGCGTATTTGCCCAGTCTCTTTCCGTCCTGAATTCATGCTTTTCAAAAATGAAAGCTCACGTATCTTACTAATTACAGTTATTTAAAATTAGACGACTTCATTTCTCAGACTGATATTGAGCTTTTCTATATCAGGGACATTTCGTTACCAATATCAGAAATATTGCAATAGGAATTATTATTATTATTATTATTATTATTGTAATAATTGTATAATATATTGTATTGTATAATTGTAAATAATTATAATTATAATAATAATGATAATAATAATAATTAATAAAGTTGGATTCATTTCGGAATTGCGTCATCTTCTTGAATACGTATACTGTATATTGAATACCATTGAAAATTTGAAATGTAATAACCAAATTTTTGGTTGTAATACGATGGTAATTACCTCAATCCTTCACTATTCCACATTTTTGTTTTGAAAATATCGTTAATGGGTGTAGTTGTTGATCAGATTAAAATAGACTGGATTGCCAGGTGTATTCGTGATGTCTGATCATTTCTCTCTAATCGGAATGCCAACATGATGTCTACCTAACTGGTTTCTCACTTAATGTGCCTCTCAGATATGATAATGAATATTTCATCAAGTTACTAGTGGATAATCAACTGCTTTGATCGGACATTAAATGGTCGTGTGTGTCCCTGGTACTTCTGAATCTAGTTACGTGATCTAAAGCGCCATTAATAAGTTGTAGCAATGTCATTAGAAGTTCACTTCGTTTCAAATGACACTAATTTGATACGTTATTGCTTTATATCGATTATTAGATACGTTTTTAGATACTTACAAAGCAGTTCTTTCAACATCAGTATGTATTATACGGACAATTTTTAAGTTATGGAAGCAAGATCGTAGCACTTTGTGTACTTTTTTTAAAGCAATTGCAAGGTGTGGTTTAACAATTCATTGATTTTATTGTAATAGATTGGTATTTCTATTCAACAGTGCAATTAAGGAAAAAAGAAAGAATTAAGATAAAATTTATTTCAAGTAAACTTACGGTCAACAAATGTATTTATTCGCTTTCAGGAAATCTTTTAGAACAATGTAACTTCAAATTAACATCTCCCCATAGCACTTCACACATATTCTTTAACTGTTTTTGACGTAAATAAATAAATCGAACATATCTATGTTAATAAATTACATACACGAGTTGTACATGAATGGTTATTTCAGTAAGGATGTTTTGTGGCAGATCCGGACGTGATGAACGCCATCAAGTGGTCTGAGCAGTTGGATCCCCTCTTCGTTAGTAACTACGAAATGGATCCCTCGCTGAGCTGGCAGTACTTTGGCAGCGCCTCAGGCTTCCTGCGCAGGTACCCAGGTGAGTGAGCGGACGCAGGTGAGCTTCCGTCTTCCAATGCGAGCGTAGGTTTCCGAGCCCAGAGTCTGTAACCACTTCCATTTCGCCCTGTGGAAGGTAGTATGGCGGACGAAACGTTGGCCCCTGTGCCTGGTGTCCCGGACAGCCAATCCGACTTTCCATCTCCCAGTTCACACTCGGATAACTCGAAATTCTATAATTCTAAAATTTGGATAATTCTAGAATGTTTAAGTTTACAATCTATAATATGTAAGTTTACCTGGATCCTAGCATCCTGAACTAAAACAATAGTACAAATCATGGATTTTTAGATTTTTTAAATAATTCGAATTTTTTGTACGATTACTCTACTAATTTTAAAAATAATTCATGAGAGTTTTCAGCAGACGTAGTTAATAATAAATGCTGTTTCGAGGGAAACAAAGGATTTAGCAATAACTATTGTTAAACTTTTTTCTGAATTCTGCATTCAAAGAATCAAGTGAAATTACCTAACTTTTTTTCATTTCAAGGGCTTCAACTGTTTTTTGATACCTTTATTCACTACTAGTGACAGACATGAAGACGGTTCCAGACAATTTATCCGCTACTTACGTCATTCTAATGAATTTTGCCTTTATTTTTTCGCCAGTCTATCTTCCTGACAGAATTAAATCCTGCGAGAATTCTTATTCATTCAACTTCTATTTCATAGCATTACCATCGTTACATTTCTCTTCACGCTCACTTACAGACGTATGAACCAATTGCATCCTTTCAACTGTCTGCAACCGTCCTGACAGTTGAAGGAATGCAATGTTTGGCTGTTTTGCCCAGCCTATTGTCATTGCGCCCACTCGCTCCGCCCCTGCTCTACTCCTTGGCTTTCGTGTCGGCAGCGAGCCGGTGGCCCGGGGGCGCGGGCGAGCGGCCGACCGACTTCCGGTCGGCGGCGTGGTACGCCGGCGCGGCCGCGTCGCCCAAGGACGTGCTGGTGCTGCTGGACAGCTCGGGCTCCATGAGCGGCGCGCGCCGCGAGGCCGCCAAGGCCGTCGTCGCCTCCATCCTCGACATGCTGGGCGACAACGACTTCGTCAACGTCTACCGCTTCTCCGACGTCACCGAGGAGCTCGTGCCGTGCTTCCGCGACATGCTCGTCCAGGTGAGACACGAAATGTAAAGGTTGGAACAAATTGGAGATTAGTATAGAAATTGAGGGGCGTGCCAATAAAATGTCATTTTGAAATATGTACACCAAAGACACCAGTTGGCCTAGATTATTTTTAGTATTTGTTTAAATTAATACTTTTGTCAATCTTCTTCATTGAACTGCTTTGATTATAAAATGTATTCTTTGAGCGCAAACTTATTATCGTGTAGTGATATTTTGAAAATATAATATGTTGGAATATAAATCCGTCTTCTTTTTATTTTTGTTTATTTAGTTAGTTTATTCAGACACGTTATTCTGTGTTGGTTGCTTTTGAAGAAGTGTAAACCTTTCTTGTAAACATAACGATTTCCTCCTACATTCCAGGCTACCAGGGAAAACATCCGCGAACTTAAGAACGCGCTCGAGGCCACGAAATCAGAAAACATCGCCAACTTTTCGTCCGCGCTCATCACGGCCTTCGAACTGCTGCACAGGGTAAGCCAATACAAATACTCATATTACTGCTGTTCTGACATTTACACCTGTGTGATATTGAAGTGCATTGTCTTCAATTCAAAATCATGAACGATGTGTTATCCGTATCGTAAAATATCTCATGTTACATTTAATAATATACATTTCCTACTTTCATTTTCTCTTTGTTTCGATTCTTTTAAAGGTTCCTGTTTTGTAAATTGTAGTGTATTATTTCAATATTTCTGTTTTTATTTAACATTTAGTTATCTGTAAATTTAAACACTTTGAAAACTATTCTTATCTTGCAAGTTTTCCGTTGTCGACATTTCTGCAACAAATATCACTTTTTTTATTTATTTTCTCAGTGCTAACAAACAAAGCTAAGCCATCTAGGTCTAACAATAAGACTATAACTACAGAATACGGGGCATACGTACTGTACGATGGTCGTAAGCATTGCTAGTTGTAGAATGTGTCGCGCCAATTACTTCGACTGTCGCCTAACGGGCTGCTTGTTGCGCAGTACAACCGCACGGGCCTGGGCTGCCAGTGCAACCAGGCGATCGCGCTGGTGACGGACGGCCCTTCCGACACCTTCAGCGACATCTTCAAGCGCTACAACGAGCCGCACCGGCCCGTGCGCATGTTCACCTTCCTGGTGGGCGGCGACTCGGCGGGCGCCAAGGAGATGCGCTCCATCGCCTGCAGCAACAAGGGTAGGCAGCCCGCACGACTCTCCTCTTGCAACACACTCTCCTTTGGAATGAAGGAATACAATTAATTAATTACACAAACGAACGAACGAACGAACGAACGAAAAAATGAATAAAACCAAACCATTTTAAAATATACACCAAGATATTCAAAAATACGCATCCCCATAATTGAGATTAAATATTATGAAGTTCAATTTGGTTAAGAAAGTTAAACACTATTCAGTCATATACACTGTTTCATTTATTTGATGCATATGATTTTAAATTATACTAGAGATCTACAGCAACAACAATGCTGCTGCAAAACCACGCAAAATGGTTCTCCTAAATGTATCACGCACCATACTTAAGGACAACAAATAATATACTCTGGTATAACATTAGAATAAATATTTTACAGAAATATTCTCCGTGATTATTGCAGTAACACTGCCCAGTCTCGTATACGAATAGCCAGTACAACAGTTCTTCACATCCAAAGAAAATCAATCAAAGAAGTTGCGGTTCTGTAACGCAACACGTGACAAGCAAATACTAATGGGGAAGACTCTTCTTTGGAGTCTTGATGTCGCGTGACGTCAGCTGCGTCGCAAGTAATGACGCACAGAGTAAGATATTCAGTCGGTACGCGCAGTGTGAGAATAGGTGGAATATCACAATCAAATATTTACCCTTTGCAGTCAAAATCAAATCTTTTTATTGTTTTTGAATTTATACCGAGTTCCTGGATGTCTAACTAAACCATCGACACATCTCACATGGGCGGAAGCTCTATAGTTTGTTTTCGATGTCTATATGCATTTAAATATGGTAGTTCAGAAGTTTTTAGATTTTCCTGAGTTCTAGGGAATCTAACGAACCATTAACGCTATTTATCAAACGGTCCGAGGCTACAGTTGCTTTCAATTCCTGCGCACATTAGAAACTAGTAATGTAGAAATTATCGATTATGAGATACAATATTTACATTTACAGACGTGTGTATGCAGCGAGATCCATTAAACACTGACAGCTTCAATAATTTCAGGACTACAATCAATTTTTTTCTCTCAACAATGAGTAATGAATTCAGTTGAGTAACGAATACGCAGTAGAGCTATTGTTTAATATAAACTCATCATTGTTGCGTGAAACCATATTTCAAAATTATGAGCTTTTAGGTACTACAACGTAAGTTCAAAATTTGTGAATAATTTTGCATATTTTAGTTCTCCTTAAAGGTAACTTCATCTTAAAAACTTATATCAAGTGTATTACGGTAGAGTTCCCAGTGTCATCTTGTTCGTTGAGAATGTAGTACAAAACAATGAATACGATAGTTAAGAAATGGTCGACTTATGACAGTCAGAGCTCTAACGTAGACAAAGTGCCTTCGTTAAACGTGCCTTAAATCTTGCCGGTACCGATCACTTGTTTATTTTAAATCGGTCAATATTTTCTCAGTTTTGATGCAGCTAACCAAACTGCTGTGCGTTGCTACAATCTTCATTCAGAATAAACATTACAGTGCATTACAGTGAGCGTAAAACAAATCCTCACACTTGTAACTCAATAGTAAAATCTTTAATGACAACTATTAATGTTAAAATTTTCATAAAAAGTTTTCGTGGACATCACTTTCTTTTTAATTTTTCAATTACATGTTGATCAGTGGAAAACTCGCTACTGCAAAACTGTTTTTTAAAGGCCTGCATTCGTTTTTTATCTTGTCAAAGCGATCATTTTAACACGTCATATTAGTTGTCAACTATATAATATTGTATATACTAATAAGTATGCAATATTGTATTCCTACTAAGATTCATTATTGAACAGTAGTAATTAGAATTTTAAACTTCTTTAGCGGAGATTCTAATGCACTTTATATTAAGTCATCAATGGAAATAAATTACAGCGACGATTTTTTTTATTTTCCAATATATTGGAGGTAAAGATTTGTTTCGATTGAGCGTACGAGCACTTCGTAACAAATCCTAAAAAAAATTTGTTTAATCGGACGATGAAAATGGAAGACCAGAACTAAATTATTCGTTCTGGAGAGGTCAGATGTGGAAAGCGAACGAATTCTGAACTACATTGTTCTTTTGATGAAAACGCCTACCTTTGCTGAGGAACATATCCGTTCGTCGTTCGAGATATTCCCCAGTAATTAGTGTACAAATAGCTGTAGCAAATGCGGAGTCAGCAGCCTCATCAATTTAACGTTATTAATGTATGTTACTTATTGCTATAATACAATTAATATGAAATTTATTAATTAACTACTACACATGATTATAACATTTTCTAATTTACAGAAATTATTTTGACTTTTATTCAGTACTCAGTTATGTACAGAGGACTTTCATATACTTTTTGAAATCCCCAAATTCAAGGTATTTTTTAAAAGATCTATCATCGGATTTAAATGGTAATTTATGACGTTAGTGGTATAAAAGGCATTTTATTTTTCGAGTATGAAAATGTCCACCTCTCGATCTCGTGAAACAATCCCTCGAGCTAAATCACTGTTACCTTTCGTGTCATACATTACTTTTTACAGACTTCCTAATTGACTTTCGTTTATTTTAATCACTTAATTGGGTAACACAATTCGTTAAGGTTGGTGGTATTTGATGCTGTTGGAAGGAATTATATTGTATTCTTTGTTGCATCCACGCTGTTGTGACTGAACTTTTGAGGATCGTGTCACTGTTAGCACTAGTGCTAAAATTGGGCAATTAGCACCCTCTACATACATGCCCGGAAGTAACTACTTTTACTATACTTCCCGACATCTCAGAAGGCGGTCGGGTTTTCGTTCATTTTGCGCATTTAGTCTCGTGATTTTACAGCAGCCAATAAACACCGCAACACTGCAACCGCCAGCTAAAATCGCAAATTCTATCTCTGTCTCTCTCCCTCTCACTCTCTCTCACTCTCTCTCACTCTCTCTCTCACTCTCTCTCTCCCTCTGCGCAGAGCGAACGGTTACCCGCCTTCTCAGTTGTTGCCGACTATAGTGGCTGACTAAAAATAGAGTAATTACGTTTTAAAAGTGCGTGAAATAACTCCTCCTTGACTGTTTATGCCTTCAATAACTTATTTCTTCCCGTTCGGCAAATTTCCCTCTCGTGAAATTAATTACAAATATTTACATTTTTGGGGAATGAACATTCCTAAGCAGTGAATATTCACTACTATAATTTAAGTATTTACGTTAGTGTTTGTAGTGTTTTTGTGTTAAAAATGTAAGTTACAAATAAGTATAATTATTGCGTAAAGCAATGCAATATTAAAATTATACTAAATGAAATGTAAAATAAAATGAAATAAACAAAAGTGAAAATTATACATGAAGCTACATACGAGGCGTGCCGCAGAGCTTAGCGGGTTATTTTATACTCCACGGGTCTGAAGCTCTGCCGTTGGCTGTGCAGGGACTCTAGAGCAGCACTAATTGACTGCTTGTCCCCAGGTTTCTACGCTCGCGTTGGCTCCCGCAAAGAGGCCGAATCAGCCGTGCTGAACATGCTGTACGTGATGGCCCGCCCCATGGTCATGTACCAGAACGATCACCCTGTGCAGTGGACACCTGTGTACGCCGGCACCCGAGTAAGTATCCATCACATTCGTCAATCAAATTCGTTTATAATCGTTGGAATTCGCTATCTCTGTTTTTGTTTTTAGGAATTGTTTTATTCTACAGTAATCCCTTGTTATCACGAACTCGCTTGACACGACATTAGTAGTCAAACGAACACAATTTGGGACTCGACAAAGAAACGTAGTAATGAGAATACACACAAAAATCGGATAACACGAATTTTTATCACAAGATTATTTTAGTTCCTTGTAATTCGTTTTAACGATAATTTACTATATAACCTTCATGACATTCACGGGATGTAGTTGACCAATCGGCAGATAATTGATATTAGAAATTACTGTGCAATTATGAAGACGGCAAATTATGGATGATGGTTGTGTGACGTATAAGTTTCACGACACAATAGCAAATTGAAAACACCCAAGCTTTACATATGTGGGGTTAGATTCACACAGTCCTTGTTTTCCTGCAGTGTAGTTGCAGTCCCCCTTACTTGCTAGAATTTTTTTGTAATACATTCTGTATTGAATTAGTTTTATTATATCAAGATGCCTTATTTCATAAACTTAGAGAATTTAGGAAAAATATGTTTGGGTTGAGACAAAACAATATTCTAATCTTAAGTTAAACCTCTGTTTATATTAATGGTTCCATTACTTCTCCTCCTGAAATAATTGCCGATATATCATACATTTTATATAATTTACTTTTATATCAGTTACCTACATTTTTAGGTTAGATAAAAGTTTTTTTTTAATCTAGTGTGGGGCTGATTTGTTGCGATTCTGATCATTGAAGATTTATATACTGTTACATATATCTAGTACCAAAGTTACTTCCAATGTTCATTAAATTATTCCCATTGTGTAACATAAGACAAGGTTGCAAACGTCCAAGCGTTTCAGTAACGGAACACTTGATTTTGTTTTTTAGTACACCGAAAAAGCAGTAGAGAAACAGCGTTCCAATGCGTTCTGGCATAGGTGCACTACTTACATAAAAAGCTTTAGAAAATAACAGAATAAGATTGATTATCATATGGATTCCCATGCGAACAAACCGTGATTTTAAATATTTCCATAGCAAACATTTCGTGAAGAACAGAAAATAATAGAAAGAATAGAAAAATCAACCCTCAAAAGACAGCATCCGAAAGAAAATAATCAACATTCTCAAAATTAATTAACAATTCCAACTTTCTTAGAAAAATAATTACATCACAAAGAGTGATTAAATCCGTTCAAGTCGTTTTCCCAAAGGAGCTGAATACCTTGAAAGCATTCAAAAACGTAACTTTCGCTGCCGCAGGAACAGCATCAACAATCTCCGGCTACAAAAGCAATTTCGCAGCCCTAAAAAAATGTTTGCACAACTCCGCTCCGCCAATTTTCCCCTTGCTTTCCTGATTGCGTTGTTCATTCCACTACTCAATTTCAGCCATTCAAGGTATTCCCTGAGTAAACTCCAAAAGACCCCGAAGCAATCTTCTATACCTAGCGAGAAGCCCTCGGAAGTGCGGCACGAAGAATCGAGTTGAAGCATGTCCCCCAAAACACACAAGAATTCCAAGACGCGGTCTCCAAGGGAGGACTTTCCGGATAGGGACTCGCGATTCTTTAGAGTGCCCTGTAATTCCCGCACAATGACGCTAGGAAGTCGTGTAAATTTCCCGCGGGCGGGCGGCGGTGGAGGAGGCGGCGGCGGCGGCGGCTGTGACGACGATGAAGGCGCTGGAAGGGGAGAGCGTGGACGGGGAGGGGGAGGGGTCGTCGAGGGCGGCAGAGCGAGGAAATGAGAAAAGCGACGGGGATGAGGAGGAGGTGGCGGCGGCTGTGACGGGGAAGGCATCGGCGAGGAAGGTGGTGAGGGGAAAGACGACGGTGAGAAGCGATGGAGTGACGGAGCAGGAAGGGGAGAAACGAGACGATAGAGAAGGCGACAGATGGATGGAACCGACAATAAAGACCACAGGGAGTAGATAGTTGAAATGCCAATAAATGGGGGGAAAAGCGAAAACGGAACGAGTATGAAAAAGAAGGGCAGAAGATGGCAGTTTTGAAGACGATGGAGAAATATTATGGAAGGGTGGGTGAGAAACAACGATGATGATGAAGAGCGGCAAAGGAATAACTGAGGGTGATAAAATAGGAAAGCGATAAAGGAGACTTGGGTTAGAAATGTATGGAAGTAGTAAGCTGAGATCGAGGCAGGGGTTGTGATAACGATAATAAAGACAACACAGGGAGTGGATAACTGTCTTAATGGTCTCAAACATTGGAAGGAGAGAATAGCCATAGGAGGCAAGAAAGCAATGGGGATGAGAACGAGGTGGGAAAGGAGACGGATATAGCGACTGTGACGAGAATGGCAGGGCGGGAATAACGACGACGGCAACGACGAGAGAGGAAGACGACGGCGGGGCTAGTGACGATGACAAAAACGTCGTCGCCGACTTGCGAGGGGCGGGCCGGCAGGCGGTGGGAAGCGAAAGTGAGGGGGGAAGGGGATGAGACGAGGGGCGAAGGGGGCGGAGGAGGGGCGGGCGGGGCCGACGGCGGCAAGTGCGCGAGTTGGCGATGGGAGAAGTTGAGAGCTAAATCACGGCGCGCCGCTCTGTCCGCAGGGTTCCAGCAGCCCAGGCCGCAGCCGCGGCTCCAGCCAGCTCATGACGTCCGTGTCGGCGCCCATTTTCGACCGGCGCAACTACACGGTAAGCCCGGCGTGCCCGCACCCTGCCCTTTTGCATCCTCCGCTCCTTTTTCATTTATTTTATTTAATAGGTCATTATTACAAACAAATTAGCTTACTTGATCCTATGTGGCTAGGCCGAAGGCCCCTGAGAATACAAATGGGGTCAACAGCGGAACCCAGAATGAATTGCAAAATAAATGAAGAAAAATTTGTGTGTATTTAATAACTCGAGCTGCGTACACGGTTGGACCTCCATGTATCGAATCTTAAGGTTCCTTCAATAAAATTTGATTTATAGAAACTTCGATAAATGTAAATAATTTTTAAATTTTGTAAAATGTGAAATTCAACAATAAATAATTAAAAATGCTGTTATCATTCGTACCACATATTTATGAATAGTAACACGAAATTGTTATTGCTTACGTACCTGACTTAATCATTGAATCGAAATTCCAAAATAAAAAAATATAATGTCTTGTTGCAGTTATGATTCACCGCCTTCAAAATTCTATTCACCCTTCAACCCCTCAAACTTTTCATCTGCAACATTTTCTCTCAATCGAAAACTCTGCGAAATTATTGAACATAATCTATAGTATGTACTGTACATTTTTATTTCATAGATAAGTCAGAAAAAGAAAGTCGAGTCAACAAATGACTTAGATATATAGAAATAATTTTCGATATACAGAAATATTTTAAACAGAATTTTCAAGGCACAAAAATAATTCGATTTATACAGAATTCCGATGTGTATAGGTTTGATAAATGGAGTGTATTTAGCAACGTATTATAATAATTTTCTGCAACTTCACGTAAAAATAGTTTCTGTTTTTGAGGTAAGTTTTACTCAGATTTAAGCATATAGCACTTTAAAATAACGAGCTAGAAGGAAACAAGACATTGTCACCCAACCGAGGCTCCAATACCAAAAATTTAAGTCCCAACGAAGCTCCCGATTGGATGTCAGTGTCCCCCCTCTCCATCCAGCTCGTGACCTTGAAGTGCCACATGTGCATACGTATTTTAAACATATTCTGTTCTTGCAGATCTTTACAAGAGGATACAGATTGCGACGTCTTTTCTTTAAAGAACTAGTTTAGCATTCACCATGTTGCTAGGAACTGTTCTGTGCATTGATAAATACTTGAAAAAGATTGAATTTAAGGACATGCCGTATTGTAAGAGAATGCGGGAGTTTCCGCTAAGCGATTGTGCATAGCGACGGTTCCACATCGTTCTGTGAAGCCGACAAGCGTTAACACTCCCTAATGGTTAAAAAACGTTCCAAAAATAAGTACTATACGATGAAATGAACTTCTGGAAACGAACTCCTTACCTAAACAAAGCAAAAGGGGAAAACTGCGGTGGGGGTCCGTCGTTGAACTCCATTGGCATGCGACCGTAATAGCAAATCAGCCAGCCCTACTTGCCTCCCACCCATCCTCCCGGCCGCTTTCCAAGCAGCGCCTTGCCACTTCTGGTGAAAATATTTGTGTGTGAGAAGAGCAGTTTCTTTTCATTTAATGCAAATTATCGAATGAAACCAACAACTTCACTTGTATGTCGGTCACTGGTGGCGATTATGAGTGTCAAAAAGGTTTGATAGCGTTTGATGCAAGTGCCCCGAAAAGCATCTCGTATTGAAGGAGGTCAATGCTCAAATGTTTGGAGCCCGTACATTAGAACTAACAACTAGGTATTTTGAAACTTTTCTAAGGATGAACAGCGTGCTCCTGTTAATTTAGATTTGTATAACTTAATAAACGTATGTTTTCCTGGAAATTCTTTTTTTATTCAATATAAAAATATACGTTTAAATAGAATTTATAAGATTGCATCTGGGAGATTCACAGAAATGTATTTTTAAAAGAATATAAAAATTTGTCTTCAAATATATGTATTTTCTCTGCCAAACTATTACTTCAATTGAAATATGGTCCAGCTAAAATTTTAAACGGGAAGAGTAAATGGTTTCAAAATATGTTTGTTGCCTCTGACTGCCTCCTGGGTAATATTTGTAACACCATAATGTTTTTACGCCATTGGAACCAATTATAGTTTTGAAAAAGTTTCCAAGCACGTTTGGAAACTCATGAAATGAAATAAGTTGTTAGTTATACCAAATTGTCGGTTAACAATAAGGTAAAATAAAAAACATTAATTTTATTTTTACTTCACTTGATAATTTTCAGAAACTGATTTTGTTGTTTATTTCCAGTTTTGGAATTCATATTTATTTTTATTTAGTTTTGGGATTTATATTCAGACTCCACTGATATTCATTGATGTTATTAATTTTTACATTTTATTACTAATTTTAAATATAGTTTGAAATGTTAACCCCTTAGAACCTGGTTAGTGTACTTTAGCATTAATATACCCCTGTGTGTAACTTACAATCCCTTGTTAGCAGGGCGAACGCGTAGCCAATTTATTGGGTGTGGTTGGTACGGACGTGCCGGTCGAACACATTCAGAAGTTGGTGCAGCCCTACAAGGTACGATATATTTTTTAATCTTCTCTTTTAGACGATATCGTATTCACATTTCCATAAATTATAGAAATAAAATACGTCATTTATTTAGTTGTTTTCGACAAAGCAAAAAACTATTTTATTCCTTTAGTGTTATTTTTTCGTAATAATTAGTCTCCTCGACTCGTAGTTTTAAGCTTTAAACATTCTCTATTGTGAATAAAATTTTATTTTATTGTACATTAAAGGGCTATATGTCGGTTTCAAGTGTAAAGATGACATCTTAGTATTAAATAAATAGCATTGTAATAGTCTCCTGCTTTAATAACGTTTTAATTACCTGCAAATATGTAGTATGATTTTCTATATCTTATTGATTTCTGGAATTAAATGTACTCAAAGAAATTGAAACGAAATAGTGTTATAACTTTTTTAAAAAATTTAAAAATATTTTTGTAAGTGATATCTTTATTAAAAACTGTTTACTTCACTGGAACAACGGACTATAAAAATGTAATAATTTCACTGTATTGTCAAGCAAACCGCCCTGTCGGGGACAGCACCCCCTTATTGTAAAAATAGATTAAGATTTAAGAATTTTTCCAAGTAAATTCATAAATTCAAAATCATCCCAATGTGTTCCACTGCGTTATGCATGATAGAGTCTGGTATCACGTATGGTTCCATCACTCCTTTTTCACAGCAGCCAGGCATATTGCCGAGAGGGTCGCGTGTAATGAAAATATGGCCCGCAACTATATTAAAGGTTTTAGTTGTGGCCCTTGAGATCTTGCAAGTTGTACACCCCTGTTGTAAAGTGAGAACTACAGAAAACTTTTGGGATAAAAAATAAAGATTGAGCAAATTTGCCTAAGTTTAGTTTATATTATTCGAGGAAAAACATACCAACTACTTACTACTCGTAAAGTCAAGAAATATTTTTATATTCAGTATGTTGGATCGTCAAATAAGTTTGAGAATTGAAAAAGATAGTATAAATGTTCGCACAATTAATACTACAGTAATGTAAATATTTTATTCTAGCGATCTATGAATTCCAGTGCCATGCCGCTAAACTTTTCTGGTTTTGCCAAATCATTCAAGAAATTTTCATTCAAAATTTAATCTAAATAATTCTGTCAGTTGCAAACGAAGCTTAGTACCAAAAATACTCAATTAAGCTATTTTATTTCCTTTTTGGCGTGTGAAATATTTCGTAATCTATTTTACTGGCAGTATTTTAATTCACTGCCATTTCAGACATTCACAAATGATGAAGTGTGAGGTGTTCGTTTTGTAATATCAATTGTGAAGCAGTTATAGAAAAGGGTGGGTCTCAAACATACCATTTTTCATATTAAACTCCACTCGAGACATTTAGTTAGTCTTGTAATTTCCGCATTGTCTCAGCCTAACAAACGAGCATAATTTTATGGATTTTTTTCAAGCTGTAAATAGATTCCACATTGCTATTTTACTGCTAGAGTGGCCAAATTATAAAAGCCTACTATACGAAGATTTTGTAACAAGGAGGATACAGAATATTTCAAAATTCAAAATGGAAATTGACTTTTGTACAAGGCAGAAAAGAAACATTTGTATTAATTTTACAAAACAATTGAAATTACAAACATCTCAGTATCTAATCAAAAGTCAGTCTGGTCTAAACTGGCTACACATTATTCATAAATTATAAAAAATAATAAAATTATAATTAATAAATTATAATTATAATTTTGAGGTAGATAATATTCTACAAACTTTAAAACCAAACAAGTATTAAATAAAAGCTAATTTTTAAAAAGTAATAAACGAAAGTGACAGATTAGTATTAGTGCAATAAAATCCAATTAAAATAAATATATTTTATTTTGGTGTAGAAGTAAGTATTTTGTAAACGTAATTATTAGAAAATAAATTAATCGCTCCTCTCAGAGATTTTTTTTCATGTTTCCTCGCAGTTCGGAGATTATTTATTAAAATAGGAGACTCCGTTCTAACTCCGGAAAGGTGTCATCGAACTGAAAAGCGCTGTATATCTACACCATTTACTTACTCCAAAATTATTAATTTAGCAAATATTTCCGAACGGAATGTTGAAATAAACAACTTAACTGATGACTGCTATTGTGTTGCAGCTCGGAGTGAACGGTTACTCGTTCATCGTAGACAATAACGGGCACGTCTTGTATCACCCGGACCTCCGCCCTCTGGTAAGTTCGCGTCAAACCTAACCAAAACTGTAGATCATCACTTCGTTAAATGAATGATTGACCACCCTCTTCTCAGAGTTAGGCCCGCATGCTTCAAATGCAACGTGCCAGTAGAACCTTCTCACAAGGCACATTTATCTTTAGACGAAAATAATTGTAATGTATGTATTATATTGTATGAAACTTCCTGACTCAGAAATAAGCATGATGCACAGTATGCAATACTTCACTTCAAAGAATGATAAGTGCTGAATCACTTATGTGGTGACAATTTTTCATGACTTGATGCATGATTACGTGCACCAGATTTACAGCCAGTGCACAAACGCAACATGAACGTACAAATATCAACAAGCATCAAACTTTTCAAGAATATTTTTTTCAACTTGTAACAGCCAAACATTGTACAGCAAAACATATATTAACCCAAACCTGTAGACTTTTTCTGCGATTCTACACACGTCAATTTTTACTCATTCTATACAATGGTAAGACGAAACATTTGCAATGACGATGTTTGAAACTGATGTATTACCAGCAGACTTTCACAGACACTTCTTGGCACCACTTCGTTCTAACGGCAATACCATGCCTGTCCCTACACGCTGCTTCTTGGATCAGACCAAGACACCTAGCGGCCAGGTGAGTGACTGCAACCAAGCACGAACTTTCTCGCACAGTTGCGCTCGTGTCACGTGATCTCACTGTCGCACCATCACTCTCGCACCCTGCCTTGTTTCCTCCACACGCCTTTCACAATCACTGCCCAGAGAGAGAAAATTTGATATTGTGTTCTGATAAGTCGTGTATTTAAGCTTCCAGAAGTACGAGCAAAAATATGTACTCAAGAAGCAGTCAGCTCTTGAACTTTACTGTGTTGTGTAACTTGTTTGTATAAATGTGTTCATTTGGTAAAGGTTACATAGGGGTGTGTAACGTTTGAAAGATCATGATATGACTCAATATCCTCTGGGGTATGACACAAAACCTTGTAGAGTATTGAGGCCGAAGATAATTGTGAAGATGACCCAAGTTTTCATGGAATGCCACGATTTTTTATCAACATCCTGGTCCCCGCAATAATCTCACAGTATAAATTGTATTATTTGATCTCTTAAAACTTTTACTTAAAACTATTATTTAAAATACATTTACCAAAACCTTTTTTTAGCTTAAACGTTGAAATTTTTATTATTTGTTGAAATAAAATAACTCACATAGTTTCCAGAAAAAACTAGCATTTTTAATTTTTTCGGGGAGGGAGGGTTTACGTTTTAGCATTGCCCCGGGCCCAAAATCGTCCAGCTCCGGCACTGACTTGTACCAATTCTACTAAACACATTGATATAATGAAACTCTTTCATTTAGGCGACCCCAATTCTGCACATTCATAATAGCCAGGAACGTGGTCGCATCTTCCGAAAATTCAGAGAATTGAAGAAATTATATTTCTTCGACACTTTTATACTTTTCTCTATCCGATAAAAAATGTAATCCAAAAATGTTATTAATGCCTTTATGCAAAATGTAAACCAAAATGCCATTAAGTCCTTCAAATTTGATGTAAGGTATCCCCCAAAGTTAAAATACACTTTTTAAATTCAAGAGGCTTACTCAGTCAGATCGGGGAATATATAATTTGGTGAAAATCTTGCTTATAGTTTAGCTGCCAGCGTTGTTCACATTCAAACGGACATGCAGAACGACGAATAGGCGCTTTGCCGTAAACCAATTTTTCAGTACCACTGACATACAAACCGTGGATTCTGATTATAGTCCGAATAATATTTCTGTTTACTTGACAGCTGGGATGGAGGTAAAGCGATTATTCGGGTGGCAGACACGTGGTCGTGTGATCGTTCTAGATAAAAGTAGACGACAGTAGGCGACACAGAACAGCACTCATGATGCACAACCGAAGAAGTAATAGAGCTCCTAACTTTACAGTTGGTTCGCGCTGTAAGATTTTTTTTAATAAGTATCGGCAACTCTGCAGTAACGTCTGCAGAATTTTAAACCTCTGATTGGATAACGAAACCCCCTCTCTCCAGTAAGCCGCTAGCTGCCAAGTAGACAGAAATATTACTCGAACAAAACATAACATGTTAGAGGTAGTAATTTCGGTACAGGGGATCTGCAATACGATTTCTTCTGTAGAAAAATTGTCATTTTTGCTTCAGCATTACATATCTTAATATTACGTACTATGTAGAAGTATGGGAGAACGTTTGAACAACAACAACAATAATAATAATAATAATAATAATAATAATAATAATAATAATAATAATATAAAAATTTACGTCAATTATTTTGTGACGTTGATGCTGCTCGTACATCTACCATCCAGAAACCAATAAAGAAACATCCCAGTAGCATACGCTTCGCGGAGCACAAGGGTTATACACGAAAACACCATCGACGAGGAGTTTATCAACTCACAACCTGTACCAAAACCGAGACTCCCTATAACAAACGCGACACCCCTATGAAAACCTTCAAACCTTTGAAAACGAAGCTTTGAAATGTTATCGCTTTTGATTCGTGATGCTCTAAACCAAGCCGCGACATGCCTTTGCATCTCTGTATGTCTTCTCGCAGGAGGCGCTCAAACCTGACTACAACAGCGTCGACCTCACAGAGGTGGAATTGGTGGATGGCGAAGGAGGTCCTCGGGAGAACAACTCTCTCCTTCTCGACGTAAGTAATGTTTCTTTCTCTCTATCTACAGTTGTCCCTAAAAATTATATCGATAAGCATCATGTACGCCAGCGCTGCTAAATTGCCAGAATTGGAGCCAGACTCTGTGAGGAGGCCCGTTGAAGTTTGCCGCTGCAAATGCCTGAGTACTATACTCCACTTAAAATGAAAATCTAGAGTAACTGTCAGCTGGGACTCGGTTATCTAATCGAGAACTTCGTTATAAAGTACATTTTTTATTGGAGCTCACGATTGGATAACCGCGTACCAGCTGATCAGAAGTCAATTCGCCCTAGTTTTGAATTGGAGTTCCCGAAATGCTTGGTTTGTAAACAAACATTGCATATATAATGAAGAAACATAATTTCAATGCCACCACTGCTTCAGCCGCTACTATTCAGATTCCCCTCCTTCAGCCACGCGAGCAGCGCCTCCCCTCCCTCCCGGCAGGCTGGCTCAAGAAGCAGCGGGCCCAGGGGCGGATCCAGCCGATCACCGGCGGAGGGGGTACCACAGATCTTTTTAAATACTAAACATTTGGGTTAATATATTTTGTACTAGCGGAACCCCGCAGACGCTGTTCTGCCCTTCATCTCCCTCTCTCGGTCTCCCTTCTCTCTCCGTCTCTCTCTCTCTCCCTCTCTCTCCCTCTCTCTCCCTCTCTCTCCATCTCTCTATTTCTCTCCCTCTCTTTCTCTCTTTTATCTCTTTCTCTCTCCTCATCTCGCACTCTCTCTGCCCTCTCTCCTCCCTCCCTCTCCTCTCTCTCCTCTCTCCTCCCTCTCTCTCCTCTCTCTCCCTCTCTCTCCCTCTCTCTCCCTCTCTCTCCTCTCTCTCCCTCTCTCTCGCTCTCTCTCCCTCTCTCTCCTCTCTCTCCTTTCTCTCTCTCTTTTCTCTCTTCTCTTTCTCTCCTCTTCTCTCTCTCTCCCTCTTTCTCTCTCTTTCTCTCTTTCTCCTCTCTCCTCTCCTCTCTCTCTCTTCTCTCTCTCTCCTCTCTCACGTCATCTTTCTCTTTATTTTCAGATCGAGTTTATTAAGATTTAGATTCTACAACTCGCATCGATCTCCTCAAAATCGTTCATTCCTTCGGCCTAGGCTCCGCACGCTCGATTAATCCGAGACTGTCGCTGCATGTCAATAGTAGTGTTTTCCTCTCTCTCTCTTTCTCTGCTCTTTCTCTCTCTCTTCTCTCTCTCTTTCTCTCTCTCTCCACTCTGCTCTGCCCTCTCTTTCTCTTCTCTCCTTCTCCTCTTCCTGCATCTCTTCTCCATCTCTCTCCATGCTCTCTCTCATCTTCTCTTCTCTCTCTCTTCTTTTTCTTCTTTTTTTTTTTTTTATTTCTCTCTTCTCTCTCCCTCTCTGCATTTCTCACCTCTCCTCATCTCTCCACTCTCTCTTTCTCTCTCTCTTTCTGCTCTCTCTCTTTCTCTCTGCTCTTTCTCTCTGCTCTTTTCTCTCTCTCTTTCTCCTTCTCTGCTTTCTGCTCTTCTTTCTCTCTGCTCACTCTCCCTCTGACCTTTCTCTATCATCTCTTTCTGCTCTCTTTCTCTCGATCTCCTCATTTTCTCTGCTCTTCTCTTTATCTCTCTCTCTCTTTCTTCTCTCTCTTCTCTCTCTCTTTCTCTCGTCTCTTTTCTCTCTCTTTCTCTCTCTCTTTGCTCTCCTCTCTTCTATGCTCTCTACTTTCTTTCTCTGCTCTCTTTCTTTCTCTCTTCCTCTCTCTCTCTTCTCCTCCTCTCTCTCTTTCTCTCTCTCTCTTTCTCTGCATCTCTCTTTCTCTCTCTGCTTTGCCTCTGCTCTGCTTTGCTCTCTTCTCTCTCTCTCTTTTCTCATAATCTCTCTTTCTCTTCTCTCTCTTTCTGCTCTCTCTTTCTCTCTCCTCTCTTTCTCGCTCTCTCGCCTCTACTTCTTCTCCCTCTTTCTTCGCATCTCTCTCCCTCTCTCCTCTCGCCTCTCTCTCTCGCCTCTTCTCTAACCTCTCTGCTCCCCTCCCTCTCTCCCTCTCTCCCTCTCTCTCCCTCTCTCTCCCTCTCTCTCCATCTCTCTCTTTCTCTCCCTCTCTTTCTCTCCCTCTCTTTCTCTCCCTCTTTCTCTCTTTTTATCTCTTTCTCTCTCTTTCTCTCTCTCCCTCCCTCTCTCTCTCTCTCTCTCTCTTTGTGGTTGAATTCTATCCTAGTGACGCAATATTCGCGCAATGGTCCTTCACTACTGTCTGACTGTCTATGTGTCTCGTTTTAATCGAAGTATAGAACCAGGAAAATTGTGCCACCGGTGATCCCTCAACGCTACCAACCTCACCTCTCCCCAACCACACTCAAGGCAGCGTTTTCCTTATTTATGTTATACCTCCCTCCCCTCCCTGAACCTCGTATATTTCATTTCTCTCTTACTATTCCTCGGCTATTAGTAGTATGATTTGAAGGAAAGTATTCCATTTAGCAACAATATTCGAGATCGAGATTGCACTGGTAAAGTCGTTTTAAGGATCCCTACGGGGACAGACATAAATTCCGTAACGTAATTTTGGAGAATTTTGGAGAATTTTGAATACCCTTCTCCTCCTATAACGCGTCTGTAAAGCGCGCTTGAACCTCCCTCAAAGAATACGTAACGCTTGTGACAACATCCCCCATTACAACAAGAAAAAATATGTAAAAGTAAGCATTTTTCTTTATTTTATTTGTGCTATATATTAAAATTTATAATAATTAAAGTTATAGTTAGCTGGTGATACTGTCAGCACCTAATAATTTGATCGGAGAAAATGTTTGAGTCAAGGAAGGGTGCATAGCCGAGACAATTTCTGCCAAGCCGTGCACCCGCCGTCGTGAATGATGCTTAGACGAAAGACTATTGAGCCAATTTAATTGCATTCTAGAATGTACTACAGATCAGTTTTGAATATTTTCTTTTCAATTAAATCGATTCATCTTATACATCATTAATGAAAAATATTTCCATTTATTGAAACAATTACGTCATAATTTCTTTAACTTTATTTAATTTTTTTAATTAAATTTGTTAAAATTGTAATGTTTTAGTACGTAATCGAATAAAAGGAATTATTTCAGAAAATCTTGAAAATTTAAAAAAAAATAATAATAATGTCAACAACACCCCCCTTTCCCTACGTAGCGTAGCGTAGCCCTGCCTGCCTCAAGCCCCCTCCCTTCTTAAGCGTTATGTAATTTATGGATGACCCAAAAGATAAAAGAGAGGTTTTGCCCTATATATGAATGAGTGAAGTGATGAGTGTGATAATTCGGCCAGATGAGACGTTTTTGAACTCTTATTTGGTAGTCAGGAGTGAGATCTGTTCTATAGATCTTATAAGATTGGCGCAGGTGGCGAGAAGATTAACACAGTTTTATACCAAAAAATAGTGCAAAAATCGTTAAAATGTCCATTTATGCCTAACCTACTGGAAAGATGGGAAATGTAATTTGCCGATTCTTCTGTCCTCAGTTCCCAACACACACACATACATCCCCTGGCCCAAAAGATTTACTTGAGAAGAATTGGCAGGGAAATAAGAAATACTTTTTAAATGAAAAGTGTCAAAACCATAAAATTCTTCAGTTTTAGCCAATCTACGGTATGGGGAAGAGTGGAGGCAGCCTTCAGTTTTTAATGCTATCTTACTAGGAAAGTCTGACTAGCACTTTCCTCCAAATTATTACAATAATCAAGATCTGTATTTCATAAGACTAACAAAAGGAACAGTTTCGGTATTCTACACGCCCCTCACATATTTTTTTTTCTAATAAAGTGTGTTTACATCACTAATTGACATAAATTAATGGATTTACCCAGAACATTTTGCCATAGCCCAAGTACAAATGTACGTTAGCAAAAAATACCCGCAGAGCTATATGAACGCTGTTAAAGTCTCAAAGAATGCTGCGCATAACCTCATGTTGTATTCATTTTATTTGTATGAACTTTCCATTTAATGAAATTGGTAAACCCAAAAACGTTACTTTAACTTGAACCACTGTTGCTGCATTGTTCTTGTAATGTAATATGCAATTGCGAATTTGACATGCATAACTGTATTGAAATAGATTTTAAAAAGTATATAAAGTATATTTGAAGTAGATTTTAATAAGTAATATAATTAAAAGTTAATACATAATACGATACTGATAGCGTTGGCAAATAAATGCAAATAGATCAAAAAGTATTTAATAATAATAATTATTAAACACAATGGTATTGTAATAATTAACAAATATATAAAAGTATTCGTTTTCATTACTGCGAAAAAAAGCAGCAGTCATCATCTTCTGTTATCTGTGCGGTGTTACATCAATGCATAGACAACCAACAATGAGCACTCATCTATTCATTTTAACATTTAACACAATTAAAGGAAGCAATTTAAAATGAAATAACATAAATATACTATAAATATAATAAATAATAATAAAATGAAAGAAGACATAATATAAAAATCTAACACACCTACAACTGGGACGGACGACAGAAGGCTAACAATCTATATTTCATATTTATTTCAAATAATTTGAATATATTTGAATATATTATATATAATAGTTTGAAATAATTTCCAAAAGATTAATTTGTAAACGTGTACCAAAAGCTTCAATGTAAGAAACGAACAATGGAATATGAAATAATTACACACATTCTAACTTACGTAGCCAACTGGCTCAAAACTACCTATTAAATTCCAATCAAGAAGCACAGGATTTTTACAGCGGGTGACTAACTTTGTCGCCCAATTACTCCAAAAATACACCGTTTCGAAAAATTGAACATTACCGTATAAGAAAATACGTTTTTGATGAAATATTGGAATTTTCGAAAAATTGTTTTTGGCATTATTTCAAAATCTATCTTTAAGGAACAGATTTTATAAAGGGAAAAACCTCTATCTGTAATATTTTAGTTGTAGGAAAAAGCCAAAAAAATATTGAATTTTTGATTTTTTGAGAAATTAGAGTTTTTAACCAACATGAGACCTGCGCCATTTTCTTAAACGTCCTTCAGACTATCCGAAAACAAAATTTAATCAAAATAGGTTATGCCATTTTTGAAAATGTCTCTGGGACTTCATGTAAAGTAGCCCCCAAAATTAAAATATCAGGGGCTTAAAATTCTAGGAGACGCGACATCAGCCAGATCGATTAAGGAATATCAATTTTGGAGAAAATCGGCTGAACGATTTAGCCGCTAGCGTTGTTCACTGACAGATGCACAGATGGATGAACAGACATTTTACCATCAATCGATTTTTCGATATCAAGGACTGTCAAAACAGAAATTCTGGCTACACCATGAGTTAGAGGATTTTTTTTTCTAAATTTAGCAACTGGATTTATTCAATTTTTCGTTACCAAGGCCCTGCAATAACAGTTTTCTGCCGCACATTCGCAGTTTTTTCGCGCTGCATTACATAATTTTCTCTTCTGAAGAAGTTCCTTCTTAAGCGCGAGAAAGTTAAAATTGATGAAAATATTTTAATGTTTTAGTACAAGACTCAAAAACGGAATCATTTCAGCAAATGTTGAACAAAAATATCAATATTACATAACACTAAACTGATATCCCTAAGTAATGCAGCTGCTACATCAAACCCCCTCCCCCTTCTTTAGCATTACGTAATTTAAGAATGACCCCTAACTTCTGATAATGAAACCAATTTAAAGTATCTAATATCGTACTACTCACTGTTTTTCTTTGTTTTTGTTTTTTCTTTGAAAAGAATTATTTATATTAGAAAAGAGAACTGTGGTTCAATTTCTAATAGAAGGGGGCAATCATTTATATATAGGAGGAAAAAAATAAACCTCATGCTTGAAATATTAAATGTGAATTGAATCTGAAAGATGAGTAAAAATGTTCATTGATATCAGTAAGGTATTTTTACTAATTATTTGAGATCTGTTATATTAAAAGTATAATAATATCCAATCTAAGTCAATTCTAGTCATTTTATATGAAAGTAATTTTGAAAATAATATTTTTTTTCATTGGTGGCATTAAAATCTTTCTAATACCTTCAAATATGTTAAGAAGAGGTTCATTTGTATTCATTTGTGTTCATTTATGAAGAAATATGTTCCCTTGAGGTCAGATGTTAACAATTACAAGGATCTGATGGCATCGAAATGTTCAGGTATTCAGATTTTAAAGGGCTTAACCCTGAAATGAAATATGACTATTTTCATAGATTTTGATTTCAATATGTAGATTCATATATAAAAATGGCTCAAATATTTTTGAAAAAACAAAAAAATAGAATTTGTTCAAGAAATTTCAATTAATGATTAATATAGTAGTAAGATTTGTAAGAGGGTTGAATTTTTCCAGGCTCTTGACAGGGTATCTTTACAAACCACAAGTATAACTGAGTACTTTTACCCTTTGAAAATTGGAAACTAGTGTGTTCCAATAATTTTCTAAATTGTTATTATTTAGATGAACGTGAAGTGCAATAAATATGATTTGCTGTGGTAATTGAATTTTGCATTAAGAATTGCATTTTTATGATTTACAGTTGCGGCATGACATGATAGATCAAAAAGAAGGTGAGACGGAGCTTAGTGTCAAGATCCACTATGACAATATGGTAAGATATTGGACAAAGAATGCACTAACATACAAAATAATTATAGATTTTTATCCAATTATTTTTATACTTTCTATACATTTTCAAAACATTTAAACTTTTAGACTGACCCACAAATTTAAAAACATTTATTTCTTATCAATTATTGACTTCATAAAAATGTTTGTTTTTATTGAATTTATTTGTGAAAATTTTATTGTTCATCAAAAGCAGTAGTTTGTATTTCAGTACATGAAAGTCAAGAAAAGCTATGTTTATTTTCCAGAAGCAAACTGAAGGACAATCTCAATACTTCTCCCCTTACCAAGAGAAATAAAACAAAAACCCTGATTGAGAAGGTGACACTAAATTGAAGTGACAATTACATGAATCAGTTACAGATATTTAGTTCAAAAGAGTACACAATTCAGAAGCAAACAGAAGCCTATACATTGATGTAGTCTAAGTCAGGACCTTACATAATGCAAACATTTTTAAAAAGTTAAACAAAATTACAAAACAATTTAAAAAAATTAGACTGGGGTATCATCACTGATGTTACAATGAATTTTTAGCAAACATATTGATTTGATCATCAATAAATCTTTACAACAGCTTGGACTAATTAAAAGAACTTTTAAGATTTTGAAATTATTGACGCTCTGAAAACTATATTTTTCACAACATTGATATAGGGAATGTTAGTCTGAAAATGGGTTCACTTCAATTTTAAAATATAATGTATTTTCAAACATATAATATTCTATTTGTAAATCTCTACAAATTGATGTTTTGTTTATTATGTTGCAATATTTTTTTTAAAGTTAAGCTATGATTTAATATACATTTCATACAAATATGTAAACTTGGTTATTTATATTTTTCCCTTACTGAAGCTATCTTCTTCTACTGTATAAAATATTTCTGAATTGCACTTAAGTCAGTTTGTTAATAAATAGAAACTTAAATATCTCCAGTTTATATTTGAAGTTAGGCTACATAGAAATTTCTGATTCAAAAAGAATTGTTGGAGGTAGATATTACATTCATGGTGATACTTGTCCTTAAACCTTTCTTGACTTGAACATGAAATAAGCATCTTGAATTTGCTTCACAAATATGTTTGAACAATGTAGTTACAAGCATCTGAAAAGTTTTTCATTATTATGATTTGACATATTTTTCTTCTTGCTGAGAACTGTGTGCCACTGCTTCACAACTACTACATAATTTAATATTAAGAAATGTAGCCAATATTTTAATATATTGCAAATATGAAAATACAATAATGTGTGTGATATTTTCTCAAATTTCAGAAGCGAGTGACAACACGACGTCATAAATATTTCTACAATCCCATTGAAGGAACACCATTTTCCCTGGGTCTTGCTATTCCAGAGGGGTATGGTATGTACGAGGTTCTAGGGGAGCAGGAAATCAAACTCAAGCCGATCAATGGTAAGTATTTATTAAATTGATAACTAATGCTGCTTGAATCAGGCTTAATAGGTAATGAAATTTTTAAAGTCAATGTCAAACTTATGTAAGCATAATGTTACTTGCATTCCAGTGACTGACTTCTTCCGTGGGACCAAATGGAAAGTTCATCCTGACTGGTGAGTGAGTTTCAGATTCATTCCCAAGGAACAGGAAATATGCGTCCTCGGAACTCTTGAATGATGTCAACACATTTCCTCAGGGTGTACTGTGAATACAATTATGCCGCTGAAAATCGCTTCAAAACTCCAGAAGAACAGGTTCTGTACTTTCTCTCACGCACACGCAAACCTGGTTGGAAGTGGATGTCATTACGACCACGCTCTCAACTTAAAGATGCAGCTCATATGAAGAAAATGGAAAAGGATTCCTATTTTTGTAAGCTTTTTCATAAACGAAAGCCTTTTTTGTAATTCTCTTATATTATATAACTCAGATTTAATTTTGTAATGCTTTGTAGGTATCTGAGTATTGCTTGAATTATTTCATGCTACTGTCAAAGAAATCATTTTGTAACTTTCACTTAATGCATGCTTTGGACTTTTTCATTAGTGTAGATGCAGGAACATTATCACACTTAACAAAATTCCGCAATGAATTAATTCCTGATCTTCACACCACCGTGATAAATAAATCATAAACTTTGTCTTCCCTTAACACAACCTCACTACACTGCCAACGTCTTTTAAACAAGATTCTTGCAGAATTTTAAAGGACAGGTCCAGCAGACTTCACTTGTGAACTTGCACATGTCCTGCAAGCTCTCAACCCAAACATCATTCCCACAGGTAACATGACTGCATTTGTGACACCCATAGTCTCCAGCCCCCCATCAACCACACACAGAGCATAAGAACATTCTTATTTGCAAACTTGTATCCTGAAGAGTGACATCAATATGTGTGTGAATATATACATACATACAAAATTGATATTCTTTTTTCATTCTGACTTCCTCTAACAAACTCTGCAATAATATAGGATGCTTCAAGAAAGTCAAATGTCTTTTCCAAATTTCATTTCAGATACTAGAATTTATCTTGTAAAATGCAGACAAACTTTTAAACACAACTTGTGGAACTCTGAGCTGTTAGTGTTTTGCTTCAGAGCAAACCTTAGTCTTCTTTCATGGGTTTAGACTGGATTTTGAAATGTTAATTCCATCAAAACTGAATAATTTTAATAAATTGAATAATTAGAACAAAGAATATCTTACATTAAACCTCCATAATCATTTCAATTGTCTATGGGAGAGAGGGAAATGTAGTTTATTGAATCTCTCCACATGAAACAGTGTGGAAAAAGAATCAAAGAAAAGAATGGAAAATAAGAAAAAAAGAAAAAAAGAAGGAATTAAGGGAGAATATATAGATGAACAATTAAGGTTAGGGACATGACTACATTTTTTAAGCATCCTGTATTCACAATCTGTCTACAAATCAAACAATATTTACATCATAACATTAGACATGTTCATCAAACTCTGATGTTTTGTTTTTTTTCCCTTTTGAAAGTGATATGATTTTAATATTTTATACTCTTCAGGACACATTCAGATGCTTGAGTGTGATAGAAATTATTTTTTAAGATGTTTTCCTAGCAGTGTTGCTTTAGTCCACATTATTATCATTTATAAGAAAAACTTTTATTTCTTTTCCACAATTTTTTAATGAAATATGTGACATAATCATCTTCCAGGTGACAAGACATTGGTGCAGAGTTTGGTGTTTGATGCAGTCGTCACAGAAGGTATAGAGTCCATGGAACGGCAGGTGTCGAGCTTCTCTAAGGATGACCCAAAGTGAGTAGCCGGAGAACTTATCATCATTGTATATCCCAGTGAGACCATGATGGAGCATATTTCCTGCAAATATGGCACTGCACTGCCTCACCATACCCTTTACCTCAGTGCATGAATTCACCTCCCTCCATCAATAAAACTTGGCACTCTGGATTCCTCATTTAACATTTATATGCAATTCCTCATTTCAATTCATGCACGTCACTTTTCATTTTCAATAAAGTACATTATTTCAATAAACTGGTCTCCAGCATATTTTATACAATATGTATCAAATATACCCTATTTAGTCGTTTAGTAAATTGTAAGGGTTAGTTTTTACCTTGAGCTGACAGACAACCACTCACCTCTCAGAAATACAAGTGTGTCTCACACTCATGATCATTAAACATAACACATTTAATACAGCCATTATTATGAGTGTTAACCATTCAATATGACTCTGAAAAATACATTGCACTACATTCATTAATTTATGTAGTTCATATGCATAATTGAGGGAAATACATTTATTTCTTTTTCGTATATATATATTAAAATATTTTTTTTAATTATTCTCATATACATAAAACATAATATTCAATTCAAAGTTTTATAAAACACATAAATTGAAAACAATAACCAGTGTTCAATAAGCAATTTAAATTAATTGTAACACACTTTGCATCTGACATAATCACTAACAAGGTGAGTTGCTGGCTGATAGCAGATACTATCCACTCAGAACATATCAATTTTGACCTGTCATAAAGATATCTGCAAATGACCATTTTCCATTCCATGCTGTTTTCTCACTCTTTCCAAAAAGGACAAGAAAGGACATGTTTTATTATGATTCAAACTATTAGAATCTATGTTAATTTTACGTCATTTAACAATTTATCATTATGGCAGGTATATGAATGCTTGCACATTATTACATGACCTAATAATACATGTACTACCACATCAATTGATATCTGTTTTAATTTTTTTCTTTTTTATAGATATCCATCACCAAATGTTTGATATTTTCCCACTGCAGTATTACATGAATTTATTATTTTGCATTTACGATGTAGGGTTCACTCACAGAACTGTACATCTTATCATACACCTTATTCAATCCTTTCTCAAACAAGAAACCTATCACATCTCATTCTTTCCACTAAACCATGTATAGAAATCCTGGTTGAATTGTAATTGACTTTTTGAATTTAATAATTTTCACATGGGATGATTGGTTATCCATATATGATATTTACACTTCTGACATCTACAATATCATTTTGCCAGTTAGCTTTTACATTACAACAAGCACAAACACCAAGATATTAAAAAAAATTACTATCATTAACAAAAATGTCAGTTTCACTTTTCATCAAAACTCATGTATGGATAACCTAGTAGATAATTTATGTGTCTAGCATTGCTGGAGATCAGTGAGGCTTGGTGAATGTAAGCAAGCAGCACATGGTACACTTTGTTATTGAAGTATGTGTCTTTGTTCTGCACTAACTGTTAATACGTCCTGTTCTCACCCACCAAAGCCCATTAGCCACGCTGATGGCACTGTTGCTCAGGTAAAGTATTGCCTCACCATCACTACAAACTGTCTTACATTCTAACATTAAGCACGTTTTCATGAGTTGTGCCTTAATTTACATATGTCAAGCATGACTTTTGCTACATTTAAATGATAAACTCTTGTCCATGGAATAACTATAATTAACGATATAAAATTGTTTTCCTCATTTATAAAAATAATTTTCAAATGTTAATGTACATTTATGCTTGATATATGTAACATGATAACTAAACATTAAATTTTTTAAATGTACAACAATATTTTAAATTCATTAAGACAAAAAGAAATGTATATGCACACTTCCATAAACATTATTTAACAAGATCACAATATTTTTTTAATTACTCTTTATTATTCATTCATAATAACAATAATTGCAAATACTGTATGAAGAAAGTGAAGCAAACACACAAGCCATTAATTTCTCTTAATTAAGAAAGTTACTATATCAAAACGTTTTTGGAGACAATATAAAACTATTAAGGTTGTTTTAACATCATTAGTCAAAATCATTATATTATGTTAATATTATTTTTAAAACAATTGTATCGCTATCAATGTAAATAAATGGTTGCACTTGTTTTTGAACAAAACAATAATTTTATGGAAGAATGCATACTAATAATTAATAGTTTCAAATTGTGACAGCTCAAAAATCAGTTTGGGTATCTAGCATTATGATTTAGAAGGGCATGAATATTGACCTAAAATATTGGTAGATATTGTAGCTCTGCTATTTTAGATTTACATATTAGTGTAGTATGTCAGTTATAATCATGATCACACATAGAACACATGCACTAAGGAAAAAGGCAATTCTGATGTTCTCGTTTGGTCAACACATTGCCAGACAAGGACAACAAAATTGAATCAATTCATATTTATAACTTGAATTGCATTTCAGATGCAGTATTATTTATATTATTTAAATAACTAGATGATTTATAGCAACCAGAAGCTTGTAAGTACAAAAGTGTGTTAAAAATAGTATTTCTTTTGTTTTTAAATGTATTACACTTAGAAATATTATAATATTTGTGTATTTTATTGAACTCTCAATGTGTTATTTTCATTGAATTTTGTTGGCCTAACAGTGCTAACTAGATTCTGAGGATAGTTAAAAGCAAATCTTTCATTCATAAGCTATAAAATATGGCTTGTTTTTGAAGCAGCAGTCTCACTTCATTCACATTGTAAGAGAGTTTAGTGTTCGCTCAACAGATAACTTTTAAAATATTAAAATTCTCAATTATAAAACAGAATTGTAGATAGGATCAAAATTATTCTTAAATAAAATTTCTTGATTCATTGTGACAAATGAAAGGATTATTTGTAATGTATTATCAAAATATATAATAAGTGTTTCAAAATAGGTGATGCAGATATGGCAGACATCTTTCTTGACATTCATGTATTTGAGTTTTTACTGATGGGTGATGCTCTAATAAGCAATTTTTTGAGGTGTAACAATGTCATTTTCTTATTTAATCATAAAGATGTTATCTCAAATCACGAATCGCAGCCACTTAATATTTATTCAAAAACTTTAAATACAAAAAGTGTTTTATTTTCAAAATTAAGATTTTGTTAGACCTCATTTGCTTTTTCTAGATAAAAATAATAATAATAATAATACACTTGTTTAATATTTGTAGCACATCTTTTGCTACATATTGAAAAATGGTATTAACAATCATTTTATCATTTCAGAACAGGAGATAAGAAGGACGAATTGTATGGAATCACATTATCATTCATTGCAACACGGAGTGGACTGTTGCGATGGCAAGATTACAAACCACCAGGCATGTCCAATGACATGCCAGATCCTTTTCCGTAAGTTTTTATTGTCCCTGAGAATTGTTGATATCAGTTTTATAATACTAATGATTTCTTATTACTATCCTAGTCACTTCAGTGAAAATAACCAACGAGCTACTGATGAAGTGTGGTACAAGCGTGCTGTGGATCAATATGCTATTGAGCCTGATAGCTTTGTTTTTTCTGTGCCCTTCGATGCTGGAGCAAATTCCAACACACGTGTTACTGCAACACATGCTCTCTTTGTGGAACATAAAGGTCATCGTGCTCCTGCTGCTGTTGTAGGACTTCAGTTTCAGCATTCCACATTTGCCAGCCATTTTCTGAAAATTACTTCTTCTGTGAGTGATTATGATTACTTTCCTAAATCTTTAATAAAATAAGTGAATAAGCAAGAGTTTTCTTCAGAAAATAACTAGATTTTTCTACTCATCCTAAAAAGAGTTTTCAAAATTGAGTTACATTTGTTGACATTCAGAAATAAAAACATTTAATACAAGAAGTGTTATAAATTAATGGATAATATGGTATACGAGATTCCTATAAATACCTTATGAAAGTTATTCTGCATGCCAAAAGGAAATGAGTAGAATTTATTTCTCACACAAAACTTGGCTCTCTCCACCACTGAAATAATCCAGTATATTTCTTCTGTAATATTGCAATGTTTTGTTGCAAATAGTGAATGTATTTAATACTTTGCAGTGTTCATCAGGTCAACAAAATCCATCAGAGTGTAAAAAGACATGTAATTCTGAAGAACTAGATTGTTATGTCCTTGATGACAATGGTTTCATTATAGTATCAGAAAGCCCTGACAATACAGGCAGATTCTTTGGACAAATAGATGGGACAATCATGGATTCACTGGTGCAGGATAGGATTTATAAAAAAGTACCAGTGTTTGACTATCAGGGTGCCTGTATGGACCAAAAGAACCCTTATAGTGATGCTAGCAACAGACTGACTGTAAGTGTTATTTATTCTAAAGAAGAGAAATTCAATTTCTCTTACATTCAATTTTTGAAAAGATATGTTAACACCAGTTAAGTTTGTTAACTTTACTAGTTTTCCAGTCATATGTTTCTAATTTATTTATTTTTGTGAAAACTTCCATACAGCCTTTGGAACCAATTAAATGGTTCATTCGATGGTTCTTTGGGAAGATGGTATGGATAGCAGTGCAAACTAGTTTATATTCTCTCTGGGATCCCAGTTGGGCTCAAGCAAATGATGATGGTAAGTAAAAAAAATCAGTAAATAATTTTAGTTATTTAATTGTGACATTTTTGACATAATCTTTTTGAATCCTAGGTAATCTTTACGGAGATTATGAAACAAGTTTTGACAATTATCCCACTCGAGAAGAAAGCAATTTATTTCCTGCTGCAGGAGGAATTTTGACTGAAACTCAACCTCCTCTCCGAATGTACCCTTATACACCAGTTCCTCCTGTACATGCCCCTTATACAAATGACGATAATAATGACTTCCAACCTAGACCCTGTGATAAACGGGTAGATTTGTATATACTTCAACCAGACAGGCTCAATACTAGTGGTGATTTTAATCCTTTGAAAGGAAAGCTCACTAACTGTCATTCAACTGGCTGTGAAAGGTATGTGCATTACTTATAAATATTTAACTAAGTTTCAATTAGATGTTGATTGTGAATGAGTAGCAATGAAAAACATACTATTCAAACTGTTAATTGCTTAATTACTGCAATTATTAGGTTTTAATTCATCCACAAAGAAGTCTTATCTTTCAGAACTTACAAAATAAATCAAGTTGTAAATCATTAGTTCCTTTTATGGATTTAATTCAGTGTACTATATGAATCTTTATATCCAAAGAGAAGGATGAATTTATCTCCTTAGGTGAAGTAAAAAGCCTATACAAAAATTGTTTCTGAAAAAAAATTAGAAAAGTAAAGACTTGAGATTTTTGTGTAGCTTTTACAACTTTATTTATCAACAATATTTACCAAATGTTGCCATTGTTGCCTAATAATGCTGCTCTTTTATCATTATTCCATCATAAGATTTATAATGTATGGTCTTTCTCTATTTATTTGTAAATCCACAGAAAATTACAAGGTAAAAAGCTTCCTAAGTGGATTAAGTAAACTCAACAGAAACTTTTGAACAGTTTTTATTTATTTCATTAAATTACATAAGTGAAACTACAGCAGAGAATTTTTTTTCTCAGATCCAAATGTTGTTATCTCTGAGAACTTTTATGTTTACCAAAAGATCTTTTGTTTTATTTGAAAACATTTTTTAATAAAGACATTCATAATGGATATTTAGTCCAGAATATTGCATTTCACATGAATTTCAACCATTCTTGCTGTTCAACGTACACCAATGCAGCAGATTCTGTATAATTGAAATTAAAATTTACAAATTTGTGAAAGCCTTTGATAAATTATATTAAGAATACAATTAGAAATTAGTTATTTCAAATGAAAAGACAAATGTATAATATTGAACTTCTTGTATTTTTATTTTACTTACTGTGAGCTGTATTGCAAAACAATTACTTACGAAAACTAGGCCAGAATTATTTCTTTCACATAAACAGGCATATATACAAAGTATAATACTAAATAAAAGAGAAAGTTATGAAATGCTTTGGAAAATTGACTTTGAGATTTGTGGAAATGCACATTTTGGAATACCCTGATACCAACAAAGTTGTTTTTGTTTGTTTTTTTTATCTCAGAACATCCATCTGCCTGTCATTCGGTTTGAACACCTGTCAAGTCAGGTAGTTTGTCAGTCCTTCTGTCAGTCTGCCTGTCCATGTGTCTTGCCTGTCTGTGAACAACACTACCACCTAAATTGATGTAGGATTTTTGCCAAAAAGAATATTCCCCAATTGATAGGGCGCAACTTAAAGCCCTGGGGTTTTGAAATGAATTCTTTAAATTTCGAAGGTTCTTCATATGAAACCTCTGGAACATTTTCAAAATTTTCTCAACAATGCCTCCAAATATTTCTTTAAATTTCTTATAAGAACTGACTGAAGCACAAATAAGATAAAGATTATTACGATTATTTCGGTTATAAAGATAGTACAGGTCTTATTTTTACTGCTAACCATTGAGTTTTTGGCAATTGTGGAAGTTAAAAATTTTTGGACCATATGATACAATTGCTTTATTATAGATAATTTAGAAATTTTCTTGTTTTTAAAAATTTAATTTGTTCTCTGCAATTAGTTCTTTAATTAATGTCATATATAATTTTATTTTTAAATATTAGTACTTTGTGCATAATTTTGAGTGAAATATAGCCACATTTAAAAACAAGATTTTCTCAAAAATAACTCACAATATGTTTCTTTAAACTTTTCATATGGATAGTGCTAAATGCATCAAATAAGATTTCATAAATTCTATTTTTATACATGCTTTTGATTTTTCCCCTGACAAATGTACATTTTTTTAATATCTGTAATTTTATTATTATTTACATTACAAATATTTTCTATACATTATTGCATCTGTGAATACAAATGCTTCAAATGATTTCTAATGAAGTTTCTCAAAAACCCAAAAGTATTCTGTGAATATGAGCTCAATATTACGCATTTTCAGAAATGCTCAAACATTTTTTCAAAAATTTCTCCAAATGTTTCAATAAAAATGTTTGTATAAAAACAGCTTTCATTCTTCTATTTTTGAAGTAATGTTCAGTGCCATTCTACTACCAGAGGATCAAGAAATTGAGAACATTTTTAAAAATTTCATATTTTTTGATAAACCACCATGTCTTTGATATAAATATTACATAAAAGTAAACTAAACCAAACCTACACATGCTATAAATATTATGATCTACAACATTTTTTATGGAATTAGTTAATTCTTAGTAAATTGTTTATTACTCAGTGTGATGTTAATAAAATTTAATGCTCAGTGAACTTTGCATTGTCCAAGGAGAAGTGCTAGGTACCGCGAGTAGTATTAATAGATCACTTAGGTAATGATACACGGTGTTACATATCTAGTGACTTGGGTCCCACCATAGTTTATGCTCCCATGGATGCCTGTGATCATGGGGATTATCAATATAAATTTAGCTGCCACTGCTTTCCAGTAACCCAGTGTTGCTGTCCATTCTCCTCACTAAACACTTAAAGTTCCAACAAAAAGAAAATATATTGTTTGAAACCTCTGGATGGCTAATCAATTGATAAACGGTTACCTTCCCCACTTTGGCAAATATTTTGTTCTGTATTCGTGAACCACCAATTAATTATAACTAATACCTTTCCATGACAATCGTCATGTGGCAATCTCTTTTGAACCCTAACCAGCACCCCCCTAAAAAACTTGCCCCAATAGTAACCCATTACATTCCTCCATTGTTCATTCCCTTACAAATTTATATACTCATACCAAGTTTTATTTTCATTTTGTAACAGATGTCTGCTGGGAAGTGGGTGGGGGCAAAATAAAAAAGCTAGCCCAAATCAAGAGAATAGAAAATAAATTTACATGAGAAAGTCTGTGCCTTTATATTGCACTACTAGTTGAATTATTTTCTCTGAAAGAAAAAATTAAAGTCTTCTTGTCTGATTTTCTTTTTTTGTTTAAGGATTCCAAGAATCTTTTGACTAGACTTGAGGCACTAAAATTCATGAACATATAAAAATGTATTTCTTGACACCCTGTTTATAATTTTCAATGAAATTGATATTATTGTTGAAAGCTTTCATTGTCAAACAAAACATTAAAAATTTCAAGAGATGAAGTGTTTTAGCTCAAGCTAGTCTGGTCAGTGCGAGTTAAGACTCACCAGCAGTGCTCCCTCAATGATGGGATGTTGTAGACACACATTGTTTAACTAGTATGGTGCTTGACATGCAACAAGTGCATGTGTCTTATAAACATGTTGAGTGTTAAACAAATCATGCTTTTGAACTACTACCACATTGTGTTTTTGATACATTGCACCTTCTGATTTGATGAAATTAGTTTGTATTTCTTTTTTCATAATGGATGCATATCATAAAGAGTTACACCATTACTTCATTCTATCAAACTTTTTGAAAAGCATTTGAAGACACATTTTTTCTATTATTTATGAGCATTTGCACAATATATGAGAAAAATGAAGAGGAAAAGAAGAAGAAGAAGGAAAAGAAGAAGAAGGAAAAGAAGAAGAAGAAGGAAAATAAGAAGAAGAAGGAAAGGAAGAAGAAGAAGGAAAAGAAGAAGAAGAAGAAGAAGGAGGAAAAGAAGAAGAAGAAGATAGGAGAAGAAGAAGAAGAGAAAGAAAAAGAAGAAGAAAAAGAAGAAGGAAAAAAGAAGAAGGAAAAGAAAAGGAAAATAAGAAGGAAAAGAAGAAGAAAGAAGAAGGAAAAGAAGAAGAAAAGGAAAAGACAGAAGAAAGGAAAAGAAAAGGAAAAGGAATAGAAGAAGAAGGAAAAGAAAAGGAAAAGGAGAAAAAGAAGAAGAAGGAAAGAAGAAAGAAGTAAGAAGACAAAAAAAAAGAAGAGAAGGAAAAGAAAAGAAGGAAAAGAAGAAGAAGAAAAAGAGAAAAAAAAGAAGAAAAAAGAAGAAAAGGAAAAGAAGAAGAGGAAAAGAAGCAGAAGAAGAAGAAAGGGAAGACGAAAAAGAAGGAAGACGAAGAAGAAGGAAGGAACGAAGAAGAAGAAGGAAAAGAAGAGAAAGAAGAAGGGAAGAAGAAGAAGAAGGGAAGAAGAAGAAGAAGAAGGAAGAGAAGAAGACGAAGACGAAGAAGAAGGGAAGACGAAGAAGAAGGGAAGACGAAGAAGAAGGGAAGACGAAGACGAAGAAGAAGATGAGGAAATAGGGAAAAAAGGAGTATGTTTAGATGTTCTTAAAAGGGTGTCCCTAAATGAAGCAATGTTACAGTGTTTTGTCATGTGCTGCATTATGAAAAAATCTTATTCATAAATAAACTACTTGTTCAGTCTATTTAAAATGTACGATGATCAACAATTTATGGTTTCAATATTGGTATTATTCAATTTTCTAAACAGGGGGTCAAGAAAAACTAAAATAGAATATATTTTCGTACATTTCATTTATAACATACTTGTTTGTACATAATTTTAGAAAGAAAAGAAAGGGGGTGTTGGGTATCCCTATACAACTACAAATATTACAAAACAGCACATAACTTCCAATGAGTTAATACTGACAGAAGACTCACAAAACATTGTTGAACTTTATCACCACACAATTCAAAATTACAAGAAATTGCTAATATTTTCAATAATGTTTATATGCAATAATTTTAAGATTTTATATTGGGAAAACCTAAGCATTAATAACCTAAGTATAGATTTCATTTACAAAAAAATTCTCTTTTAACTTTTGCAATATTCACAAACTTAGAGGTAAATAAAAATCAAACCTGTGCTATTTTTATAAGTGTATATTTTTATTAGTGTATTTTTATAAGCGTATTCTAACAAAAACTTGATAGAAGAAATGTGGATGCAAAAGTTAAGAAAATTTTGAAAACGTGGAGGCTGTATTATATACCCCTCTTCACACACACATAACTAAAATATCCATTTCAAGATCAAAGGGCTGTGGCTTCCAGATTGTTTGGAGAATATCATATTTTGATGGAAATCATGTGAATGGTTTAGACACTAGTGTTGTTCATGGATGACCAGATGGACAGGCAGGCAGATGTTTTGAGAAAATCTTCTTCTTGAGAATCAGTGACCTCCAAAATATGTATTTCTGATCAAATCTCAATGGATTTTTTGCAGCATTACACTACTTTCTCAATACTAAGGTTCAAGAAAGTAAAAATTGAATTTGAAGACTTTTTGTACCCCAAACCTAACAGAATACATACCTGATTAACGTCCTCCTAACATTTACCCTTTGCTGGGAGCACTTCTAGAACAGGCCAAAAGTAATTGAATACATTGATCTGACCAATCTTTTAAAGAGTAAATTTCAACCTTTTAAGGAACGAGATAGTGTTTTAGGACAGCGTTTGCCCCCTAATTTGAAGTCACTGATGGACAACTGCTAAAAAATTGAAAACCTCCAACCTGAAAATCTGTCTCAAGGTTATACTCCTGAAGAAATTAAAGTAACCAACAGAGAAGGAGTTCAAAACATTATGTACCAAAAATAATATAATTTTAAAATATGAAATTTTGTGTGTTTATCGATCGTAGTTTTTCAAACAATATTTCACTATTCGCAAATAATAATAGAGAAGAAATTATTAATATGATATTGTCTTAGTCTTTTTTGCAAATAATATGATTTTTTTTCTTTCTTAATGTTTTCATATCATTCAGTATTTTAAATAAATACTTTGTAATAGTAGTATTATTTACAATTTATATTGTATTTGGAATGCAACAAATTCCTATTTCTCATTATAAAATTATTACTACAGTGAATAATGTAATAATTAGATATATCCATTTTTAGGCCTTTCAGTGTGCAGAAAATACCACAAAGTAATTTAATTCTACTTGTTGTTGACACCTTGTGTCCCTGTGGTAGCAAACAGTTAAGCATCATGCCACAAGAAGTTGCTTATGATGCCTCTACAGCAGCAGCAGGTGCAACAGGAGGTTGTCGCAATAGACCACATGAAGCAATGTATCGTCGTCGACCACCAAAGTGTATGAACTATCATCCTGAGGTAATAAAGAAAATAAATTTTTTTTGGACTTATTTTGTCATTAAGTCACGCGCATTATACACCTACATTTATTTCTACAGATCATCTTTGAGTACTTGGAATATTTTTTTCAATTTGTATTTGTCTTTGGATTAAATACTCTTCAGATTTGTGAAAGATGTTCAATATGATTTAGATTTCATTTCTTTCCATCTTGTGCATTATCGTGACATTTGCTTTTTATTGAAAATGGAATCATTAGTGTTTAATTCTGTTCAATTTGCTTTCATAGAATTTGTTTAAAATTAAATTTTATCTAATTTCTATATATATTTTGTAAATAAAATCTGTTCTATCTGAATAAGTATATGCTGCCAAGACACTTAACGATATTTGAACAAGGCACACAAACAAAAAACACAAGCTAAATGATCCTCGACAGACTAAATGAAAGCCTTTGATTTAAAATACATATCCACAAAAGTGTCACACTCATTAAGTATAATAGATCACATTCTTACCAATATTGGGTATAAGGAGGTGGAGAATATGGCGTATAAGGGATTTGGGGGAATACAGACAAGTGACATTACCCAAACTTCTTAACCAAGCTCCATGAAATCACAGAAGTGAAGTAGCTGAAGTCATTTTGGTTCCTGGATGGGTGACCACCTGGGAACCCCAGAGCAATGGCACTGAGCCCCTGACTGATAGGGATTAAAGGCAATTACTGACTTGACTTGACCTAAGACGGACTTAATATGTTCAAGGAAAATTACTCCCCATGTCCAACACTAAAAAGGACTACACTACATCTATTCCCAATTAACATACATTCATCTACCCATTACATACAAAGTATAAAAATATAACAAATTAGATCAGTAACAAAATGTAATAGAAATAATATTCAAAAATAATATTCCAAACAAATGCACAACCTTGGAACCTTTCTGTGCACTTATTGTAATGCAAATAGTGAAAAAAGAGACAAACTATGTCATTCTATTAATTTTATTATAATAAACGGCATTCATTATCATAATTTATTACTAAGAAGCATAGCAAAATCTATTTAAGTTAATGGATAATAAAAACAATTCATATTGAAATCAATAAATTACATAATTTATTGAACATTTCACACATTCAAGAGTAATAGAAACAACACATGATAGACTTGAGTGTCATGCCCAGAACTGATAGAGAGAGCTGTGATTTTTCTATATTTGACTGAATATAAAATGTTCTTCATAATTCAATTAAATAACAATTCAAATTGCATGTTTGCAAAATCCATACATCTCGAAAGAAAATAAAGGGTAATACAATAATGATATTTTGAAAGAAATCAATGTACCATATATTCATTTTATATATTTAATGTTGACTATACAGAAAAACTTACTTATTGCAGAATGGGTGTAATGCAGAAATCTGTCCAATGTGAACATAAAACATGGTCCTTGCAAATGTAATTTCTATAGTATTACCTTGCATAATGTGAAAATTTGACTAATACCTAAAAAATACTGACCTCTTGCAATAGTTCACTGAGCAAGTTTTACTGTGATTAGTTTATTACTGTTTAAAAGAGTTGAATACCTTTTTAATAAGTATTTGTTTCATCTTTTACTCAATTTTTTATTGATCTTTGAGGGAACAATTTCCTTGATTCTTTTAATATTTGATATTCTGTTATATGGTGCATGAAGAACTGTATTATTAAAACTAAAAGCATTTTCCAAATAAAATCTAATGTCAATTTGTGTGTGTGTGTGTGT